GAGAGAGAGAGAGAGAGAGAGAGAGAGAGAGAGAGGGAGAGAGAGAAGAGAATCCGCAGTGAAGTAGAGAGCCGGAACAGAGGAGCGAAAGGCATTAAAATTTAAAAGGAGCTCAGCAGAGAGGAGAAGAGAGGGCGTACGTTGTGCTTCTGACCTGGATTCGGCGCTCATTTTCGCTTCCATCGCAACTGCAGGAGAAGACCACCTTTTGATTCGCCAGTACTCCGCCTTTTCATGTGTCCAGCTTAACTCCCATTTCCCAGCCCTTTAACTTCGTCAATTCCTCTCTCTCTCTCTCTCTCTCTCTCTCTCTCTCTCTCTCTCTCTCTCTCTCTCTCTCTCTCTCTCTCTCTCTCTCTCTCGCTCGCTCGCTCGCTCGCTCGCTCGCTGAACGTCCTTTGCCCCTTTAATGCACTGTAGCATGTGCAGTTAGTTTAACCGGCAGGCTGCAGTGTGAGCCCCGGCCGATTCCTTTTCCCCACAAGATCTTATCACTGTCGGCGCACGCAGTGTCGTGAGTGAGCCACTGAGCCACTGAGCCCCAAGCAAATTCCGTTCCGAAACTCTCCGCTGGTTTGTCACCTTTTTTTCAGTGTTTTTTTTTTTCACACTCAGAGTACTCCGGCCGGTTAGATTGTCAATCTTTGACTTCCCTCTGATCAAAATCCACGTCTTCAATCTCTACTCCACCCGCCTCTTCAATCTCTCGTTAATCTTGGTAGTCCCATCCGCTGCATCCAGTAGCCAACATCTAAAGGTATTTACTCCTCCTGCTCTTCCTCCTCTCCTCTTCCTCTTCCTCAAGATTTTATTAAACTCCTTCTTCGTTTCTATTTCGAAAGTAATCAACTCCTCTCTCTCCTTTTTTTGCTTCTACTTCAAAATGCAATCAACTCCTGCCCCTCCTCCCGAGTCCCTTCTCCTTCCACTCCCGGAAGCCGTCCCAGTCAGTTCCACTCAGTTCCATTCAGTTCCATTCAGGTGCATTCAGTTCCACAGAGTTCCATTCCGTTCAATTGACTGATCAGAACAACCGCGGCAAGCACTGCAGTCAGCAGAGTAACAGCTGGAATAACACCGATAGCGGATAAGCACTTTCAAGAACGGGTAAGTACTCCAAGGAAGGATCTTGTCGCGTCGTTGCTATAGAATAAGGAAGTCCACCTCCGAATCCCCAAGCACGAATGTGCTCTCAGCCAAAGCGCTCGTTAGGCAGCTAAATCGTCGTCGCTGGATGGTATTCGAGTCAATCGACTGCTCATTGCATAACGACAACCACTTATTTCAACAACAGCAATTGTTGTCTGCTTCTCCGCTTCCTCTGCTCCGCGCCTCAGCTCTCCCCTTGAATCCCTCCCACTCTCTCTCTCTCTCTCTCTCTCTCTCTCTCTCTCTCTCTCTCTCTCTCTCTCTCTCTCTCTCTCTCTCTCTCTCTCTCT